ATGCTCCTTCAGGAATAGCTTCTTTCTCCATCTTCTAGATTCCAACCATTTGAAGGATACCTAGAATGTATGGCTTTGAGTGAAAACAACTGTCTTTGTTGCACTGAGGATGAGAGGCTTTTTGGAACACTGGTTTCAGTGCAAAAAAAGCCAGGACAGTGACAGGCAATCCGGGAAGAGTTGTCACCCTAGCTGGAACTCAGATTCAACCACCTGATTAACTCCGTCTTTCTTAATTCATCCAAGTCTCACTTGTCATAAAATAAAATAATACTAAAATAGTTATGAAGTGACAGAAAAAATTATGTATTAGACAGGCTGGCATAGGGCCAGGCATGAGAGGCTCACACCTGCAATCCCAGCACTTTGGGAGGCCGAGGCAGGTGGATCATTCGTAGTCAGGAGTTTGAGACCAGCCTGACCAACATGGTGAAACCCCATCTCTATCAAAACACAAAAAAAAATTAGCCAGGTGTGGTGAGCTGTCTGTAATCCCAGCTACGGGAGGCTGAGGCAGGAGAATCGCTTGAACCCGTGAGGCAGAGGTTGCAGGGAGTTGAGATCATACCACTGCCTCCAGCCTGACAAGCAGAGCATGACTCTATCTCAACAAACAAACAAACAAACAAACAAAAGAAAAAACAAAAACAACTGACACAGGACCCAGGACTTGGTAGGTGCTAAGCAAGCACGTGAGAAGTGCATCTATCTATCTAAAAAGAGAAGGCACATATTGTTTAACGATACAAAATTATACAAGGATCAATTCTAAATGAACATTTTATAAAGAGGTCTAGAGATAGGTAACAAGCCTGTCATAATATTCTCTCTTATTTTGTACTATATTTAATCTTTTGTTTTTTTTTTCCTGACAAGATCTTGCTCTGTCAGCCAGGCTGGAGTGTAGTGGTGTGGTAAGTAACTCATTGCAGTCTCAAACTCCTGGGCTCAGGCGATCTTGGCCTCCCCTGATGTGCTGGGACTACAGGGAACACCTGCCATGGCCTCTTTATTTCTTATTTTTTTTGTTTTGTAAGCGGACTCTATGTTGCCCAGGGTGATCTGGGTTCATGGTCTCCAAGCAATCCTCCTGCCTACGCCTCACAAAGCATAATAAAATTGTTAATAAAAGTAATCTTTATGTGAATCAAAAAGCTAAATTCTCAAAAAAGTAAATATATACTGGTGAAAAATCATAATGTGCCAATAGGAATTGTACAACAAAATATACACAAGGCTATTCACAGTGTTTGTGATAAATAAGGTATAACAAATTAGAAGTAAACTAAATCTATTGAGGAGGTATTACCATTAAATATATCCACATATTAGAACACTATGCAGCCATTAAAATAATAAACAAATCTACTGACCTTATAAAACACGTTATAATATAAAGTTTAATGCCATTTATTATCAGATAGACACAAAGAAACAGAAAAGAGAGAAGAGATGAAGGTTGCCAAGAATATATAAAAATAAGAAGTAGTTAAGTGTCACGCCACCTGTAATCTCAACATTTTGGGAGCTGAGGCAGGCAATCTAAGATCAGGGTTGGAAGAACAGCCTAACCACATGGCGAAACCTGTCTCACTAAACTAAAAATTAGCCCAGTGTGGTGGCATGCACTGTAATCCCAGCTACTTGGGAGGCTAGGCAGTAAGTGCATGAACCCAGGCAGAGGTTGTGAGTGAGCAGTCAGCCACTGCATCAGCCTGGGGAACAGAAAAGCTCTCTCAAGAAAAAAAAAAATATACATATATATATATGAGAGCTGAGGCACAGTGGCTCCTTCTCCAAGTTAGCCTTTGGAGAGGCTGAGACAGGACAATCATGGTTGTGCTAAACCAGCCTGACCTTTAATAATTTATCTCACATAACCTGCAGAACGTGGCCAGTGCCGGTGTGGCGCCCTGTACTCGCCTACTTGGACTTTGACCCAGGGTTCAGGCTCAAACAGGCATGCATTGAGCTAAGCTCTGTCTCGATTAAAAGAAAAGACCAGTTTTATGAGTTAAAAAAAAGGTTGCAGGTTTTTAAAAACACAGCATGCAATAAAAACATAGAGAAAAACCTTCGTAGAAATTAAATATTCATCTGCAAAAGTAACAAGTGAAAAAATATAACCAATCATTTGAGCCCCATATTCTTACTATATATGATTCTTACATATCATATGAAGAACCAAGTGTCTTCCTAAGAGTCTAACAGAAACAGTGACATTAGAAATTTTATAAAGCACATTACCTAAATAACCCAGTGCAATACTTACCAGCTACACTAATAAACATTGATATATTTTCTATACAAATTAACATGTATTCATACTATATGTTGTACAAATATAAAGTTGGGGGGCTACCCTGGATATTGGTTAAAACATGTATCATAGAATTGAAAGGTTCCTATTATTTCTTAAGTGTCTGTTTGAAAGCGATGAAAACATGTATGCAGAGGCCCAGAAGTGGCACTGATTAATATCACCCAGAGAATACATCACCGATATTACTTAGAACTGTCAGCATGATTGTAAGCAGATCAGCACAGCTCGCTTTGCTGTTGTTTTTCTTCATTCTATACAAAAATGCTTCCATTTTACCACAAAGCTGGGGCAGACCATTCATAGCTCTATCTCCCATCTTTTTGATATGCCACTGTAGCTATGGTGGTTGAATGGTAGGAAATCATGTAGTTAATTGTACCTCCCCACCTGCTTCCATAATAAGTTGGATGTTTCTCCCCTTTTTATTGCTTCCATAGTGGGTGTGAGTAGTGAAATCTGTAATTATGGTGGTGCCTACATTATGTAATTGGGTTGGGTTGAATGGTAGCGATCTGTGAATGTGACCTTATTTGGAAAAGGGTCATACCTTTGCAAGTGTAGATTAAGCCCACATCTTGAAACAGATCATTCAGTTAAGGTGAAGCCTTAAATCCAATAGGACTATCCTTACAAAAAGGAGAAAGTGGAGAAGGCACCTGAGAAGAGTAGAAAAGTATTGCAGACTGAAGTGACTTGACTCAAACCAAAAGTCAGGACAATTCACAGAAGCTAGAAATATATAAATTAGCCGGATGTGGTGGCAGGTGCCTGTAATCCCAGCTACTCAGGAGACTAAGGCAGGAGAATCGCTTGAACCTGGGAGGCATGGAGGTGGGCCGGGATTGTGCCACTACACTCCAATCTGGGTAACAGAGAGACACTCCATCTCAAAAAAAAAAAAAAAAAAACTACAGAAATTATCCTTTTAAATTGCAGTTGTATTGTGTGAAATGTTATGAAGAAGAAATTCTGAGGACTCTTCATTTACTCATTCAGTATATTAGGAGTGCTATTAGGAGTCAGATAGTATTCTAGGCAGCGGCTGTTCCGAGAGAACATATTGGAGAGCTTGATATAATCTTAGAGACCAAAACTGCTTCCTTGACGTGTGCTGTTTGGACTGAGTTTTGCAGGATGGGTAGAAATTAAGAGCGGAGGAGGAGTATTCTAGGCTGAAGAACAATACGTTTCAAAACCCAAAGGGGGAAAAGAGCATGGAGCCAGAAGCGGCTTGAGGTATGGTGGGTGAAGTGGATGGGGACCGGATAAGACTAGATGCCTTTCATTTTAACTCTCACTTCCTCTCACAACCACCCTATAAAATAGACAGCATTTCCATTTGATAAATGAGAAAACTATTAAAATATACACACCTATTCAACAGTGCCGGCGTCAACACCCTTACCCTATCCTTTTTCCCCATAATCAGAGTTTGCCTCCCACTCTAGAAGCTCAAAATGCCAGTTATCCACTTTTCTAGCCTCCTTTATATCGAGGATTTGCATAAGTGACTCAGTCCCAACCAGTGGAGTCTCACGGGAAGTCAACTCAGGAGGACGGTTCTGAAGCAGAATGCTCTCTCTCTTGATAAAGGAAAAAGGCGTGCAATGAGGAGTCTCATCCCACCATCTGTGCCTTCAGACCTTATCAAGTAGGATGCAATGGCTGGCACCATAGAAGCCATCTTGTAAGCATGAGGGAAAAGTGAAGATCATCACAAAGGAGCCACCAATATAGTAGCCAAACACAACCCTTGCTGCCTCAGCTCCTCTGGACACGTGGGAAAGCAAAAACTCTATTATTCCAACCACCTTTAAGTGGGTGTTAATAACTTGTGGCCTAAAGCAGCTAAACTGATGTAGAAAATTAACCTCAGAAAGGTCAAATCATTTTAAAATTATGTAACTAAAAGGTAGCTGAGGCTGCGTTTTGAATACAACTCTCATGATTCTAAATCCTTTGCTCTTTTCCAACTTACTTATATCCATTGGTCTCTGGACTAAGCAAGCACTGTAAACTTAAAAGCTTTGGACATAATGACGAAAGACTACTAAAACCAATGCTAATGCTAATCCAGGGCAGGAAGAAGAATGTTTCAGGCTGTGACAAGGTGGCCTCAGGCAGGGTGAGAGGAGCCCAGGCAGCTACTGGGTCCTTCTGTTGACAGGCAACTGCAGGAAAGCGCCAGTGTGGTCCAACGACAGAGAGGTCCTGAGAGTTCAGTTTTCTAACATATCTGGACTGGCAAGAGAAAGGCAACCAGAGAATTCAGTCCTCACTCGGGAGTCTCGAAATGTTTAGATTCAGGAAGAATACAATGAAATTTCCACTTTGAAAATCATATTACCCCCTCCCAACAGAAAGAAGCCTGTTTCATACACCCTCTGCTTTGTATGTGATACACCAATGTACCAACACACATTCAAGCAGGGGACTTTGTCCTTGATGGCATCTATAGTGTAGTCAGCTGCAGGTATGTTTAAAGGTGGAAAGGGGGAGAAGTGTTTTTCTAAAATACTAATTTCAAGAACAAATCAACATCTATTATCTCCTTCATCATGTTTTAAATTGTAACAACTATAAATCACCCTGCAGCGGGTTATTCAAGGGCAGAATTACCCCGTTTAGCTTTCACGAAGGTTAGAAGAATGACATTTTGTGCTTTTTCTAGCTATAATTTATAACTTTGCAACAGAACCAGCCTTGCCGGCCCATCCACTAGCAGGGTAGCCGCACATCCGTTACAACTCAGCACGATGACTGGCTTTACGCGGGCACAGGAAACGTAACCCGATCGCCGCAGAAGTTCCATAAACGTAAGCCATTTTTTAATGTAAAATGATTTGAAAACGCAGTTCCCTAAAACATCTGCTAAGCTCTTGCTACCCTAACACATGATATTCTTTCTACTGTTACCTGCCAACACAAATATTTGGTTGCACAAAACCCTCCTAAGAGGCACGTGACAGTGCTCAGCTTCCCATTTACATACTGGTCCACAAAGGACTGGCTTGGACCTGGGAACCCTGGCAAGGATGCGTTTACCAGAAATGAAAGCTTATGTGGAAAAAAAAGGAGGAGGGGTGCGGCATTCATTTCAGTGAAGGTGCTGTCAAACATTTAAAAAAGGAAGCATAACTGCATAAGTAGCTATAGATGGAAGGGGAACTACTGTGCACTGGATGCAGCAAAGGCAGCTGTGAGTAGCAAGTGAAAGTTTACAAGGCTGGTATATCATTTTACTGAACACGCTGGGTGAGCTCTCTGCTTTTCAACTACAAAATAAAGATAATAATTCTAAGACTGCAGAACTTGGAATTATTAATTCTAATAGAAATTATGAGAAATTAATGAAAATATATGCTGATACATAAAGCATCGTGGTATGTGGGATAAACTGCCAACCTGCATCTCTATTTGGAAGTGCGGTAGGATTCTAAAGTCATCACACATGGCTACAACTGCAAAAAGCCAAGATTAGCCTTGAAAATCCCTATGTGCACCAGATACAACGCCCAGTTTTGTGAATTAAAACCCATAGAATAATATGTATATACAAATATAGATACTAAAATACAATACGTTTTTTCACCAACTCAGAAATTCTTACCAAATACATACTAATGCATGCATGTGCAAAACATTTTAGAGTAATTTAACTGCATAAAAGAATGTTCTAGAGACAGGAAAATAAACAGGCAATGCACGCATGACGTGACTTCATTATGAGAAAGTGCTCAGCAAATGTTAGTTTCCTTTAACATATTTTAGAAGCAGCTATTTGAAGTATCTTGCATCTTTTTTAGAAGAGCATTTAAAAATAACTCAATTTCCAAGTTTATCTGTGATTTTTATTTTACCATAAATTGGAGGAAGGAGGAAACAAATACTTCTCCCCCAGAACCCCCCAATTCACTTGTCCAGTTCTCTACATCTCAAGAGGAAGAGGGAGGCAGAGACATGGCTTTACCAGTAGGGGCCGCTGTGCTGAGAATTTATTCTTGTGAGTTTCTCATTAGTGATTATTATACTGCAGGCAGCCAAAATGGAAAAATTAATTAATTTCAAAGTGATAATGCATTTACAGCAACAATTAGAAATGTATAACTGTAAAAGGGCAACATTTAAAAGACAGATTACATTTAATAAAGTTGCACAAGAACATCCAATTGTAAAATTACTGATCTGCAACAATATTCCTTAAAGAGGCACTTAAAATAGCCTGACTCCATGAAGGGTGACCTAATTACTGTAACTAAAATCACCGTAGTCACAGCAAGTCACAGCAAATAAAAAAGGGACGTTGATATTAGAATACTGCTGTTTAATACTTAAGGGAGCCGGCTACAGGGAAGAAATGAAGGCAGGGTTTCGAAGCACAAGGCTGGGTTGTATTTCTTGCTCCCTTGACCTCATGCATTGGAATGTGTACTCCAGCAATACTCATATCAGAAGCAAATACCCACTCTAAGGTGAAAGGCAGACAAGGCAGACCACACTAGCCATCTGGTGATAGGGAGATTGCGTCTATGCTAACCCTCTCAATCACAATTAGAAACCCAGCCACATGTGGCCTGTGGCTACCTTACTGGAGAGCCAGATTATAATCATTGCAGAAATTCTATATCCATCATTATTGATGTTATATGCATTACTGTCAGTCCTTACACCAACCTGTATCGCAATTATCGTCTTAATGAGACAGACTCAGATCGCTGGTAACCTAAGTTGTTCCAGTGGTCAAGGGTAAGAGCTGAGCTTAGCCATCAGCACCATTAGCAGGAGAGCTGCGAGGTCCACTGCCCCAGGTTGACACTTTCTTTTCTTGCCACCACCAGGAAGCCATGTCAAATTCCATCTCAAGCACAAGGGAAATGCTCACGTCCCCTGCCCTTTCTATGAGTGCCCCTCCCCAGACAACTTCAACAAAACCTGGGATTTTTGTGACGTCACCACTTTTCTCCAAACCCTCTCATGAACTACCCACTCATTTTCCCACAGCTTTCTCACCCAGGGACCTAAAGCTTAGTGCGCCTTTAATCTTTTACCCTGGGCTGCTCCCAGAGGACATCTGTTTCTCCCAAGCCTTGCCTTGCTCTAGGCATTGAGACCTGTCCATAAGCGGTCTCTGAGCTCTCCTGCCAGGGAAATAGGAGAGACTGTGGTAGGGTGCGGCAGAGGCTGCTGCACACTGTTAGGGTAGGCAAAGGAATTAGGCACGGAGGTCGGGCATCTGTTATCACTAGGACACACTCCAGGTATGGTGCTCACTGAGTAGCAACCTTCGTCCAGTTCATGGTGCATCCTCCCCCACATGGTAATCCTTCTGCCTCCGTTTCTAACCCCATACTCTGGTTTTCCAGAGTATGGAATAAATTTATATTCCAGAGTATGGAATAAATTTATAAATTTATTTATAAATTTTTAAATGAATTTAAAATGGCAAAAGTAAATCTATCTGCAGTGTGTCACTTATACCATAAGCCCCTGTGTTTGGGAGTGATAAAGGTTTCAAGCTAACCCTTGGCTGGTCTCTCTCTTCCAAGTCCCAGGGGTTACATTTTATGGAAGTATGATTAAAAAAATAAGCTTCATTCTGGGTCACTAAAACATTTCAGGACTTAAGACGGAGAAGAAGGAAGAAAAAAAACGGGCCCCTTTCACATTATTTCTTTTTCTAGCTACTCTGCTAAGAGTGTAAACACCCCCCCAAAACACACACCAAGCAAATATGAGAGATCTCCCTAACACGTATTAAATCCAGCCTCATCCAGCAAGGCCTTTGTCTTTTCAGAATATTTCTCTCTAGACAAATAGTTGTTTATCCAACTCTAGAAACAAATATGCTGAAAATATGATGAAATTTTCAAATGTCTTTTTCAGTCAATTGAATATTCTCCTAATGGCAATAGGAAAAAAGTGCCATCTGATGTTTTAATTGAAATTTTAACCAAAAGAGGCATGGCCAGATTTCTAATATGCTCTAACTACAGTACTTCCCTTTCCACAATTACACAGCTAATGTCTGCATCGAATTCCCTAATTTCTCATTATAAAACAATTGGATTTCATCTCGCAGGCTTTAATTGCATTGTTTCTCCTGCTAGAATAACTGCACATTCTTCTTGGTAAGATGTTGAAGTTGCTGAATTACAAATCAATAAAGGTCACGCCATTCAGATTTCATCAATTATTATTCCATCTCTAAGCAAAATCGATGAGGAGCTTGAAGTATAGTCATAAAAACAATCTTCGTTGCTCTAGACAGTCCTTCTCAACAGTCCCCTACAATCACACAGACACACAAAAAACACCTGGAAAAATTAAGTAAGCCAAGTTGAGTCCACCCACATGTCTCAAGTAGGACTAATGAAAATTATTTTCAGAATGAAAGCCTTGGGGGAATATTAGCTGGTACGAGAAAGGGGATAAGTGAACAAATATGCAATTCAAACCCACCGATGGGACTCTGAGGAGACCACAATGACACGGGCAGGAGCTGAGCGACACAAAACATCCTGGAGGAGCTGGACAAGGTAGAAGTGCCCCAGATGATTCACTTGAAAGGTGGTCTCCAGGCCGTCTTTGGTGAGACTCCAGGGTAAAGCAAAAGCTGCTGCGTTGCACACAAGCACATGAAGAGGCCTGAAAAATAAAATATTCCACATGATGTGAACATAAACACTACAACCAAGCATAATCAATGCTCCTTCAGGAATGAAAAATTCTTTCTCCATCTTCTAGATTCCAACCATTTAGGAAAAGGATACCCTAGAATGTCGCATGGCTTTGAGTGGGCAACTGTCCTTTGTTGCTGAGGATGAGAGGCTTTTTAGGACACAGGACTTTCAGTGCAAAAACCAGGACAGTGACAGGCAATCCGGGAAGAGTTGTCACCCTAGCTGGAACTCAGATTCAACCACCTGATTAACTCCGTCTTTCTTAATTCATCCAAGTCTCACTTTGTCTGTAAATAAAAATAGCCCTTAAAATAGTTATGAGTAATAAAGGAAAAATTATGCTGTTAGACAGGCTGGCATAGGGCCAGGCATGGGGGCTCACACCTGCAATCCCAGCACTTTGGGAGGCCGAGGCAGGTGGATCATTCGAGGTCAGGAGTTTGAGACCAGCCTGACCAACATGGTGAAACCCCATCTCTATCAAAACACAAAAAAAATTAGCCAGGTGTGGTGGTATGTGTCTGTAATCCCAGCTACTCGGGAGGCTGAGGCAGGAGAATCGCTTGAACCCGTGAGGCAGAGGTTGCAGGGAGTTGAGATCATGCCACTGCACTCCAGCCTGACCAACAGAGCAAGACTCTATCTCAACAAACAAACAAACAAACAAACAAAGAAAAAACAAAACAACTGACACAGGACCCAGGACTTGGTAGGTGCTAAGCAAGCATAGCAAGGGGGTAAATGCTATGTCTAAAGAGAAGGCACATATTGTTTAACGATACAGAATTTCTTGTAGAGATCAGATTAAATGAACATTTTATAAAGAAGTCTAGAGATAGGTAACTAGAAGCCTGTCATAATATTCTCTCTTATTTTGTATATATTTAATCTTTTTGTTTTTTTTTTTTCCCTGACAAGATCTTGCTCTGTCATCCAGGCTGGAGTGTAGTGGTGTGGTCGTAACTCATTGCAGTCTCAAACTCCTAGGCTCAGACGATCTTAGCCTCCTGAGTAACTGGGACTACAGGGGAACACCACCATGCATGGCTACTTTATTTCTTGTTTTTTATTTTTGTAGAGACGGACTCCCCCTATGTTGCCCAGGGTGATCTTGAGTTCCTGGTCTCAAGCAATCCTCCTGCCTACGCCTCACAAACATAATAAAATTGTTAACAATAAAAGTAATCCTTTCATGTGAATCAAAAAGCTAAATTCTCAAAAAGTAAATATATACTGGTGAAAAATCATAATGTGCCAATAAGAATTGTACAACAAAATATACACAAGGCTATTCACAGTGTTTGTGATAAACCAAGGCAGCAAATTAGAAGTAAACTAAATACACCATTGAGGAATTATTACATTTAGAATATATCCACATGATAGAACACTATGCAGCCATTAAAATAATAAACAAATCTACTGACCTTATAAAACACGTTATAATATAAAATTTAATGTATTTTATTATCAGACACAGACACACAAAGAAACAGAAAAAGAGAGAGAAAGAGATAGAAAGGTTATGAAAGATATATAAAAATAAGGGCGGGTGCGGTGGCTCACGCCTGTAATCTCAGCATTTTGGGAGACTGAGGCAGGCAAATCACAAGGTCAGGAGTTTGAGAGCAGCCTAACCACATGGCGAAACCTCGTCTCTACTAAAAATAAAAAAATTAGCCAGGTGTGGTGGCACACGCCTGTAATCCCAGCTACTTGGGAGGCCAAGGCAGTAGAATTGCTTGAACCCAGGAGGCAGAGGTTGTAGTGAGCTGAGATCGCGCCACTGCACTCCAGCCTGGGCAACAGAAGGAGACTCTATCTCAAAAAAAAAAAAAAAAAAAAAATATATATATATATATATATATATAGAAGGCTGGGCACAGTGGCTCATCTCTGAAATTCCAGCACTTTGGGAGGCTGAGACAGGATAATCACTTGAGCCAGTATTCTAAACCAGCCTGAGCAACACAGCAAGACCCCATCTCAACAACCACCACCAGAACATTAGCCAGGTGTGGTGGCGTGTGCCTGTACTCCCGCCTACTTGGACTTGAGCCCAGGAATTCAAGGCTGCATTGAGCATGCATTAGAGCAAGACTCTGTCTCCAAATTAAAAAAAAGAAAGACAGTTTTCACATCGCAGTCTAAGAGTTACAAGTTTTTAAAAAACACTGGCATGCAATAAAGGGAAACATAAAGAAAAACCTTCATAGAAATTAAATATTCTGCTCTCTAAAAAAGTAAAACAAAAGTGAAAAATATAAGCAATCATTTAGAGGCCCCATATTCTTACTATATAAACAGTTCTTACATATCTATGAGAGAACCACGTGTCTTCTAAGAGTCTAACAGAAACAGTGACATTAGAAATTTTATAAAACTACATTACAAATAACCAGTGCAATACTTAACACCTCCAACTACACTAATAAACATTAAAATATTTTCTATCAAATTAGCATATGTATTCATACTATATTTGTATTACCTCGTATAAAGTTGGGGGGCTGCACCCTGGATATTAAGTTGAAAACATGTATCATGAGAATTGAAAGGTTCCTATTATTTCACCAAGTAATCCTGTTTCCAAGCAGTAAAGCATGTATGTAGCAGGGGCAGCAGAAATGGCACAGTTAATATCACTAGGGAGAAGTATTTTATCACTGATAATGCTTAGAACTGTCAGCACATGATTGTAAAAAGCAGATCAACTTTTAGCTAGCTTTGCTGTTGTTTTTCCATTCTATACAAAATGCTTCCCCATTTTGCCTGCAGCTGGGGCAGACCATTCCCATAGCTACCTCCCATCTTTTTGATATGCCACTGCTTCTATAGTGGGTTGAATGGTAGGAATCTGTGAGTTGAATTGTACCTCCCACCCCACTGCTTCCATAGTAAGTTGAATGGTACCTCCCACCCCATTGCTTCCATAGTGGGTTGAATGGTAGGAATCTGTGAGTTGAATGGTACTTCCCACCCCATTGCTTCCATAGTGGGTTGGGTTGAATGGTAGCGATCTGTGAATGTGACCTTATTTGGAAAAAGGGTCTTTGCAAGTGTGATTAAGCCCACATCTTGAAACAAGATCATTTTGGATTAAGGTGGGCCTTAAATCCAATGACAGGACTATCCTTACAAAAAAGGAGAAGTGGAGAAGGAACACCCACAGAGGAGGAGATAGAAAGATGTACAGACTAGAGTGACTTAGACTCAAGCCAAGAAATTCCAAGGACAGTCACAAGAAGCTAGGAGACAGGCATGGAACAGATGCTCCTTCGAGCCTCCAGAAGGAACCAATGCTGTAGACGACTTGATTTCAGACGTTTGGTCTCTGAAACTGTAAGAGACTAAAATTCTGTTGTTTCAAGCTACTCAATCTGTGTTAATTTGTTATAATAGTTTTAGAAAACTAATATAGCTTCCAAAATTCTTTCCTAATATTCAAAATTCATATAAAAGTTTATACCCAAGAATGCATGATACATCAACTAAAATTATAAAATTCTATATGAACTAGAAACAACCTAACATCCAGCAACAGAGGAGGAGATAAACAATGATTAAGCCAAAGAGTCCTAAACTTTCTCAATTTAATTGAAAAAGAAATTAAATTTCATAAGTGTGATTCATACCCCATACCCCCCAAAAAGAATTTCCAGATATACAGTCAGGATTACTTTTTTTCTATTTCCTGTTTATGATTTTTGGTATTTTCCAACTTTTCTACAATAAGCATAAACTAATTAAAAAACTTTACTGAAATGTAATTCACATACCAAAAAATCTATGTATGTACACTCTACAACTGTTTCAGTATACTCAAATAACTGTACAACCATAACTACATTCTAATTTTATAGTACTTTAATTAAAAAAAAAAACCCATTAGCAATCACTAGCCACCCTCTACCCACCTACATACACTCTTATCCCCAAAACACCATTAATCTACTTTCTGTCCTATAGATTCACCTATTCTGAACATTGTATATACTAAATGGAACCATACAATACATAGTCTTTTGTGACTGGCTTCTGTTACTTGGCATGATGTTTGCAAGGTTCATCCATGTTGTAGCATATATCAATATTTCATTTCTTTTTAATGGGCAGATAATATTTCATTATATGAATATACTGCACTTTGTTTACCCATTCACTAATGATGGATATTTGGATTGTTTCCATTTATTGGCTACTAGGAATATCACTGCTATGTACATTCATTTGTAAAGTGCTGTGGAAATGCACGTTTTCTTTCCTCTTGAGGATACGTCTAGGAGTGGGATGGCTGGGTCATATGGTAACTCAATGTTTAACTTTTTCCAGTGTGGCCATACAATTTTACATTTCCACCAGGACCGTATTTGAACTTTCATATCTCCATGTCTTCCTAAGTATTTGTTATCCGATTTTTTAATTTTAGCCATCCTGCTAAGAAGTGGAATCTCATTGTGGCTTTCGTTTGCATTTCCCTAATGACTCATGACGTTGAACATCTTTTTATGTATTCATTGGCAATTTGTGTATCACATTTGGAGGAATATCTATTTAGATTTTATGCTTATTTTTTAACTGAGTTTTTATTATTGAGTTGTGAAAGCTCTTTATTCTAGATATAAATCCCTTATTAGATATTTAATTTGTAAATATTTCTCCCATTCTGTAGATCATCTATACACTTTCTTGACGGTATCATTTGTAGCACAAACACTTTTGATTCTGGATCAAACCCAATTTATCTTTTTTTTTTTCTTTTGTCACTTGTGCTGTCGGGGTTATATCTAAGAGATAATTATCTAAGTCAACATCACAAAAATATACTCCTATATTTGCTTCTAAGAGTTGTACAGTTTTAGCTCTTAAGTCTCTGACCCATTTTTATTTTTATTTTTTTCGCTATTTTTTTCTGTGTAGTTTATGCAAGTGTGATCTAACCTCATTCTTTTGGATGGGGACGCC